AAATTGAAGAAAACATAACAAAAAAACATGATGAACTGTTTATAATGATTGATATTATAATAACTTGCGGTCCTAGACAATATTTAAACCACACAGTCATACTCCATCTATACATTCAAGTGTCACGGTTAGAGATGTCCCGATCCGATCACGTGATCGGGGATCGGAGCCGATCACGTGATTTTCAAAAGATCGGAATCGGGAGAAAAAAATCGGGGATCGGGATTTTTTTAATTTTTAATTTTGTATTCAATGTTACAAAACAAAAATGACCATGTTCAAGTCTTAAAGTCATCCTGAGGCCTTAGTTTTGGTTTCAAATGACAGAACATCATGTATGTGTTGCTTCTTTGGGGCTTGTTTTCATAGACCTGGTTGCTTATTTCTCTCAAATCTGGCAACAGAGTGGGCAGGGCGCAGTGTCTAATTGTAGCAGTAAGCTAACGAGTACTGATAAGCTTTATTTTGTTTTGATCCAATGCTGAAAGAAAGAAGCTATATCCATGTTGGATAGAATATCCAATTTAAATAAGAAAAAATAACCTTAAGGGACAACTTGAATGCTTTTTTATCTCTTAATGCATTGCATAAAGATCGGATCGGGAAAAATCGGTATCGGCAAATTGTCAAAATCAAATTATCGAAATTGAATCGGGAGCAAAAAAAGTCATCGGGACATCCCTAGTCACGGTATATTACTACTAATATGCCGTGACAATGTAAGGTTAAGAAGAGATTTGCAGAACAGAGGGAGAAGCTCAACTATATTTCCAATGTATCTGTTTATCATATGTGTAAAAGTTAATGTTCCATCAGCAACCTTGGCTGAAACATTTCCTGTCCTTTGTGGAGCCCTTCATGAAAGCCCAGATCCAACACTAAACTAAACCAATGACCTTCACCTGTAGTGGTCCGGACCCTCCCGCCTGCTCTTACCCTTTTCTTTGTCTACTCGGATGACGACCACACACTCATTGCGGCCTATGCGGATGAGCTTGTTGATGGAGCGGATACGTCGACGGGACAACTCGCTCAGCAGGATCATGCCCTCGATGTTGTTGTACTCCAACAGGCTGACGTACGCTCCCATCTCAGCGATGGACCTCACGTTCACCATCACCACATCCTCCACCTCTGGGAACCGGTGCTGGTAAAATCGACAGCTGAGCGACGGCATCGCTGGGAGAGAAGAGACAAAGACAACAGGGTGTGAAGTATTTGAAGCAGAGATTGTGATGAAGTTTAACTACATGGATAATTGCACCACATTTTGATTTCATGATACATACGTAACATTCATCTGTTTGCAACTCACATATCAATATTCCAATTACTGTATATAGACTATTCTGCACAGTTTCTATCATATTCTGTTTCTATTATATTCTATTTTATTTATTGTTTTATTGTGTTGCACTGTTGGAGGAGCCTGTGACCTAAGCTTTCCATTGTCATAACTACACTGTAGCACACATGACAATAAAAGCCTTGCAACCTTGAAACTTTATAAAGTAGACAAACAATACAATTTGAGAAAACTGTTGATGCTTAAGTTAAAATGTATTACGCTTGATTGTAATTCTAATCTTTAAACAACAGAAAGCAGAAAATGAGATTTGGGCTATACATCTGGAGGATCTATTAACAAAAATGCAATCACATTGCATAAAAGGATTGTACATCTAAAATTGAAAGTGAAAGTCAGAATCTGTTGCTTCAGTTGTGGCCAGAACATTTGACCGAACCATATAGTGGAGCAATACTAAAATGTTTCAGTATGTACTTTTCCCCAAAATGCTCTTTAATATTGTACAGTCCAGTTTAATTTGATGATGATAACATCTAAAGCCATGGATCCCCAGGATGTACAACATAACGGTTTGGTACCACTGATCAACAGGCAATGAAAAACAAAGGACACAATAACAGCAGTCATGTGTTTTCACTGGGAGAGGTCGATATATTCTCTGGTTCATCATAGATGGTGAGCATATAACGAAAACCACATTGGCTTGAATGTCAAATCTTGAATGCAAGAATTCCGGTGCATCCACTATTATTAAATAATTAGCTACCTCACAACACGTAGGGAAATGCCGTTTATAAAGATCTGTCAAACACCCGGGTGATATTTAGTAAACCATACAGGACATCAATAGGTGGACTAAATATCAGAAATAGAACCATCCTTTGAATATTTACTGAAAAGTCCAAAGCAGTCTGAATGACACATTGTTCACATTGTTAACGTTTTAAACACTTTAAAACAGATCAAATAGCCAAGTTTGCCCTGAAATCATCCCTTACATAACTACCGGGATCTGTACTAGTATTGAATGAACTGGCAGCGTAGCAACAAGGTGTTTTATTTCACATTTTTGTCAGTGAATGGGATGATGCAATGCAGATAAAGCCCTTTACTGTTTGAGTTAAGAGCGAAAAGCTGACATAAACAAAACAACAAGACAGAAAATCATGGTAGCATGTTAACAGCCATAGTAGATAGTAACTGTTGTGATGTAAAATATCAAAAGACGAAAAATCAAAGACTTTTCTATCCGTTAGCTTCATAGCTAACAGCCCGGTTCACATGCGGCACATGTACTGATATTAGCAGTTAGCATTTAGCACCTCCATCTGCTCAACACTCTCCCGTTAAAAATAAAGCTTTATCATAAAATACTCACCGGCGTCTTGTGTTTACGGAACAATACAGTTCAATGTTCTGTTCTGGATGTGTCTTAATGTCCGATTATATTTCCTTTGAAGGTTACTTTTATGAAAAATTCGGGCCCGTTAGCTCACATTCATGGGTGTGCTAATTTCTCGACCCGGAAAAGATCGTCACATCATTCTACAAGCGCATGCGCAGAAAGCATTCGGTTCAGTCACATGACCAGAGGCCAGCTGATCATCACGCAGAGTCGGACAAGATCACGACCATCAGGCTTCTAATCCTACAGGAAAAACAACGGGTTTTCTGTATTATATGTATGGTTTAATAACGTGGAACAATATATAACGTTTCGGCGGGAATCTAACGAAACGGAAGGTTACAAACGTTAGCTATCATCGACCAAAGGACGAGAAGATGTCTGGAAAAGAAAGGCTCGACGTTTTCCCCTCCAGAATGTAAGCAGCTTGTTTGCTAGCTAGTTGCTAACCCACTGTAGCTTTTTAGTCTGATATTATAATGCTGTTTGTTTGACAAGTCTCTCAGATTGATGATTTTCACCTCCTATGTACCTCTTGTTCTGCTTACACATAGTTTATAAGATCAGCACCAGGTTATTGTTAAAAGAGGAAGAGTATTTTGTCATGTGATTATTCTACCATCATCTCAGTGTGAGCTGTCAGTCTGAGATGGTGTTTCTGACCTCTAGTTAAAGTCTATACTGTAACACTGTGTAACTTTCCTGATCAATAGAGTTAGCTTAGGGCCTTACCATTTTACAATGCTAATTCAATCATGTTTATAAATACTTTAAATGGTTAAATCATTTCTGCCTCCAACCAGACAGAAAAAAGAGACCAAGTCACGAATACCATGACAAATAGTCTTGTATAAATGCATATACAGCTGTGTTTTCTAAGCAGTCAAATACTATGAAATGTGACTGAGGGGTGTTAATTAAACCTATTGATTTAAATGATAAATCCTGATGTGTGTGGCTTACAATAAAACACCAAACAAATGTCTTGACATCTGAAATAACAGGCTGTGTGGTGCAGGCAGTGTTTTCCTTACCCATGCATGTCAAAGAGTGTAGATAACCTCCATGAATATTTGAGTCCTCTATGTACATGTGATGTCATGTTTAAGATTCAAACACAGCACTACAATGTGTGTGTGTGCTTGCAGGGCTCAGACCATCATGAAGGCTCGGCTCAAAGGAGCACAGACCGGCCGCAACCTGTTGAAGAAGAAATCTGACGCCCTCTCCATGCGCTTCCGTCAGATCCTTCGCAAAATTATCGAGGTCAGTTAAACAAAATGAAATAACCAACCCTGTTCTCCATGCATTCATTTCTCACTTTGGTTTTCTAAAGTTGGACTTCTCGTCTCTTTTCCTCAGACTAAGACTAAGATGGGGGAGGTGATGAGAGAGGCGGCCTTCTCTTTGGCTGAGGCCAAATTTGCAGCTGGAGACTTCACGTAGGAAACAACAGAGATCATGTGATGGTGTTACATTATGTTCAGTACAAGTATCTCACATCTGTAATTCTGCCTACAGCGCAACTGTAATCCAGAATGTCAACAAAGCTCAAGTGAAGGTCAGAGCCAAGAGAGACAACGTGGCAGGTTAGCCTAAAGATATCATCTGTTGACTATTTAAAAACAATGTTGATGATAAGTTATTTGATGCTTTATCATAAATATGTTTGTATTTCTTTTAGGTGTCACTCTCCCAGTTTTTGAGTACTACCAGGAAGGCGGGGACAGTAAGTAATGCTTAGAAACCTCTAGTTTTGGTGAGAAGTGAATGAAGGAGTTCTCACCCTCGCTGTGTTTCAGGTTATGAGCTGACGGGTCTGGCCAGAGGAGGAGAGCAGGTCTCCCGGTTGAAGAGGAACTACGCCAGAGCTGTGGAGCTGCTGGTGGAGCTGGCCTCCCTACAGGTAGGGGGCGGCGTTACATACACATACACATTATATACTGAGCTTCAGTCAGCTTGGTTTCATACTTCTCAAGAGAAATGGAGAGTTAGAATTAGCTCTACGTCAACTAACATTTAAATGGTTCTTTCATGTTAATGCATCAATAACGTATATACTTATAATAATGCATTATGATAACCCTTTTCTTATATTAGTTTTAGGTGAATGCTAGTATATTTTCAGTTAAAAACAGTGTGTGTGTTTAGGATAACTTGATACACATTTCAAATTTGTGTCTATAGACATCTTTTGTCACTCTGGATCAAGCCATAAAGATTACCAACCGCCGTGTGAACGCTATCGAGCACGGTAAACTCACACTCAACATACAATTATGGCCTCTTTTTTGAAATAACCCCAGACTTGTTTTTAAAGCTGCTCTCTATCCCTCTTTGCAGTGATTATCCCCCGCATCGAGCGTACCCTCACCTACATCATCACAGAGCTGGATGAGAGAGAACGAGAGGAGTTCTACAGGTGAGCACTTATTCTACCATTCTCGCTTTTCATTTAAGCCACTATATTAGTGTTAACACTGACAATATGTCCTCCTCTGCCAGGCTGAAGAAGATCCAAGAGAAGAAGAAGCAGCTCAAGGAAAGGACACAGTTGGAGATTGCTGCTCGCTTGGCTAAACTGGGTCCCATCGCAGAGCCCACCAACATGATGATGGAGCAGACGGATGAGGACATGCTGTTCGAGTGAAGCGACCTCACGGCAGACGAGACACCGACGTCACCCAGCATCCTATTTATTCTGTGCCTCTCAGGCCACCTTACGTCTCCTCATGGAAGTGATGAAAGTTGTTTTTTTGTGTACTTGTCTGTGATGAGTTGTTCTATTGTTTCAGTGCTGGAAAGGTACTGTGTGTTTCCAGATTTTCGTCACTTTACAGAACCGAAGTGTCGTCGCACTTGGCTGTTCACCCTGAAGGGAGTTCACTATTAAAAATATGACCTAAAGAAAAAGACTATATATATATATATGTGTTATCAAATGGTTTGCGAGTGAAATTAAAGACTGATCAACTTGTACATATTTCATGTTCTTACAACATTAAGAGCTATTGCATGCTGTAAAGCTTACGGTGGTTGTAGATTTCAGTGTGTGAGTTTGTGTTGTGGAGATTGTTGTAACCTCATTTGAGGTTGTTTACCATTGCACCAGAAAACCCTGAAGTGATCCCCACTGTAAAACGTGTGCAAGTCAACAAAGGCCCACACCTCATCCAAATAAAGATGTTATCAGTATCCAATCATTTCCTGGATTTCTTTCCGTCTCAAAAGTGTCTGAACTTTCTTTCAACGTCAGGAAACATTGTCTGAGGGGTCTCTCAGCTAGATGAGGAATGGCAGCCATCTTGCACCAGAATGCTACATTTACCACATTAGTAATAGTATGACATAGAATGGCTGAATAAACCACACCAACTTATTTGAAATGTTATCTTCAATAAGATAAAGGAACTCAATTATTTCAGAATATACATTGCTTGTTTACATATGTATCAGATTTTATTAACACTTTTCCAGAATTGTGCTTATGAAGTAGTACCTTGCAAAAGTAGTTTTTACCTACTAACTGATACGAATGTTTTGTTTCATACACTGACAGAAAACATCACTTTGAATCATGATATAATAATGTTAACCAGCTAGAGAGACAATACCTTAGATTTGAGGTCTGTTAAGACATGACGACAACACAATAATACTGACACTGGTGTGGAGGAAGTACCTCAAAACACAGCAGTTTTTCCTACTCTGTTTCAGAATGGAAGACAACT